ACACGCACAAACACACACACACACACACACACACACACACACACACACACACACACACACACACACACACACACACACACACACACATTTGATCTTCTATCCTCATTGGGACTTCCATTCATTTACTGGTCATTTCTACAGCCTAATCCCGATCCCTAACCCTAAACTTAACCTAAACTCAATTCACACCTTAGTCCTAAAATCTAATCCCAGGGAGATGGGCTTTTGTACCTGTTAGAAACAGTGGGTCCTCACCAGGCTGTGTGTACTGGGAAAATGGTCAAAATGTGTCCCTACCAGGTAACAAAAACATGCACACACACATAAATTCAGTGTGTGAATGTGTGTGTGCATGGGTGAATGTCTGTAGTGTGAATCACTTTGAGTGTCCTGGATGGATAGAAAGGCGCTATATAAGTACAGTTCATTTACCATTTACCATAAACATGACCACCCACTTGTTCATGAAGCAGGTGACTTACTGGACATTAGAGGAGAGTTTGGACTTTGCTAAAGATACATCATTATCTCAGCCCAAATTGTACAGATTAAATCCTGTTCTGTACTTCACCTGCTCACCACTCTCATTATGTTTTGTGTCATTTGTGCCAACAGTTCTTTCTCACAGAAAAGCAATTTAGCCTTAAAAGCTGAATAATGACACTGACACAATCCCTGACTGGTTAACGTTTCATGAAAGTCAGATACAATTTACAGACTCTCACAATAAGAATGTGTTTTTCTTTGTTTCCTCAGCAGCAGCAGAAACCCTGAAGAGAATTCAGTGTGAAAACACACTCCACTCTGTATTCTCACACCGGGGATATTTTTGGATAAGTTTTAAAATGGATGACAACCTGTCCCTGAATATTATTCAGATTTTAAACAGTGGCCAACTGCACGCGTTACCTCCTCTGTAGACAGAGTTTAAAACTAGACACCCAAACCTGAACAGGTTATTTTTATCCACACAGTGTTCTGAATTTAAATAGTAGTATTGGACCAGCTGGTCCTGCTGAGATGTTTCAGAAAGATGAAACATGCTCTAAACAGTCTATCCACAACAGAATCTACAGCTTCCACACGGGATAATTTGTTTTCTAACTTCTTCAGGTTCTCTGCTGCTCCTGGTGAAATGTTCTGGAACACTGCAGCTGGTGAGAATGTCACAAGAACAACCAGGAGCAGATGTGACACCTGCGGCAGGAGCATCGTGTTGGCGGGGTGTGATCTTCAAACCCAGAGGTGGTTCACATGTGGAACGGGTTCTGCTCCAACAGGACCACTCCTTTCTGAGTCTGAGAGAGTTGTGCTACTGGTGTGGTGCAAAGGCTGTGTGTGAGAGTAGAATCCTGCATGTGTTGCTGAAGAACAGAGCATGGTGAGGGTGGAGGAAAATATCTCAAGAACATAAGAACAAAATAAACTCACATTTTAACATTATTAGTTTCTCATTATTTATGTCCCCAAACCAACATGTCTAGTCTATGTTCTAATATATAACTAATATAGTTCATACAACAGTAACTGCACAGCTTTAGTTCAGTGGAGTTAGTAAACTACAGCTCAACAAGCTTTTATTCATGATTCAATCACTGGATCCAGAACCTAAATACAATATTTTCATGTAAAGAATGAGTAACATTTATTAACACAAATGTAATCCAAACATAATTTATTCAGTCAGTGTGATGCAGCTGTGCTAAGAGACAATTTCATGACAATAAAACCTTGTCTTTAGGCACAACATACCTCAATAATCCTCTGATTTCCCCTCAAAGAACACTCCTCGGGTGTTGGAACAAGTCTGATCGGTGACAAATCTCACAGGGCTTAAAGGATTTATTGTTCATTTCTTGTAGCCTGACACGCCTACACAGGTCTGAGAGAGTCCAGGACTCAGCAACCAAACAGGAAGGCAGTCCTGGTGCTTTTATCTATACATTAATTGTAGGGGTGCACCGATTGGAATTTTCTGGCCGACCACCCATCTTTAAAAAGCCTGACCTGCTGATTCCAACTTTGTCCAAGACCGATTTTTAAATTTTTTTATAATTGACACTGTCTGGGGTTTTACGGTTACAATATACCTTCAAATTTCCAATTTTTATTTTATTGAGACATGTGCAATACATTTCAAACAAAACTTGTTTGAACTGAATACCATCCCTCTCTCACAACAGAGCAAAAAATGACAGTGGCTGTGTTGGATAAATTAATTATCAAGACACAAGGAATGATGAACAAAGCAGCAGATCTGGTTGAGCTCTCAAGTAAAATACTTGCAAGGAGTCCAAAATACAGACAAGGTACTTTCATACAGTCGTCAGCAGCATGAACTGAATTTCTGTACAGCAGTCAGGTTTTTAAAGAGTCCCCTTCAAAGTGTCCTCCTGTTTACGCCCATGCAATCTCCTGTTTTCCCCAGGACCTCCAGTTCCTTTACCCCAACCCACCTGTCTAATAGCGGGTCGTAAAAGTAACGGAACTCCATGATCTAAGTTAGCAGTTTGGGAAGTCAAAGATCAACATCTGTGTCTTTACTCTAACAGCATTCCTGAATACAATAAATAATTGCATGCTGTGATTGCATAGAAATATGAGGAATTAAATCATTTTTAAACACAGTCTCTTCATTTCAGAGAGTTTAAAAGTAATTCGACAAATTAAATAACTGTAAATAAAATATAGTACATGTTGTTAAGTGTCAGGACTGTGATCAATCATACATTGGGGAAGCAAAACAGCCACTGTTCAGAAGAATGAGCCAGCACAGACGAGCTACATCGTCAGGTCAGGACTCTGCAGTTTACACTCATCTACAGGCCAGCGGTCACTCTTTCAGGGATGAACATGTTCTCATCCTTGATAGAGAGGAATGTTGGTTTGGGAGAGGAGTAAAGGAAACCATTTTTATGAAGAAAAACCATCCACCATTAAACTGAGGTGGAGGCCTTCGTGTCCAGTTGTCCTCCTCCTACATGAATGCTGTATGACTCAGCCCCTGTGAGCAAAAGGTGTGAATCAGGGCCCCAACGATAACCAACACAAATAGGGAAAGAGAGACAAAAACAAGAGGACGTTGAACCCCGCCTGCATTCACTACACACACATAACAAAACACCAAATAACCACAGCCGAAGCATCTAAACCAGGGGTGCCCAAACATTTTCCCCCAAGGGGCCAAAATGAAAATCTATCCAGGGCAGCGGGCCAAATACAGTAATATAATACATGAAATACAAATACTTTTTAAAGTCCCTTATTTTTAACGATTAAGCTGTGCAATGGCCCTCTTTTGTTTTAGTCTGTGCACTTGGAGAAAGTCTGCCTTACGCTCAAGTAGGAAAGGCTCATGGGACATTTCATAAATTGATAAAATATGAGTTTTTGTGGCCTTATAAAGTGTGCAAATCTACATGTGGGGTTAAATCTGAACAAAATATTTCTTGTCATTTCATGTTTCATGTTTAATCCTAAAAAAATCAAAGAAAAAGTCAGCACAATAAATGAAAACTACCTTCACCACAGGCCTTTTATATAGTCATTTGACCAATAGAAATACTRTGTATATACACAAGATAATAGGTTACAACCTTGTAACTTTGGCAACTGTTGGTGGGCCAAATCAAATGGCTTGGGGGGGCCAAATTTGGCCCGCGGGCCCCACTTTGGGCTCCTCTGATCTAAACCAAAAAGTCAGGTGATGGGGCACATGACTCTCTATGAACAATAGAGCCAATCAAGCCTATTGTTAAGCGATGGTCCTCTTTTGCATTTGACTAACCTGTTTGTCCAACATGTGGAGGCAGCGCTTACATGG